ACAAACAACACGCACAAACAACACGTACAACAACACGTACAAACAACACGTACAAACAACACGTACAAACAACACGCACAAACAACACGTACAACAACACGTACAAACAACACGCACAAACAACACGTACAACAACACGTACAAACAACAGATACAAACAACACGTACAAACAACACGCACAAACAACACACACAAACAACACATACAAACAACACGCACAAACAACACGCACAAACAACACGCACAAACAACACATACAAACACACCACAAGGGCTCAAGCACAGACGCCCATATGAACACGCAAATGGTGGGTGCACAACCCCAAACAGATGAGGTCAGGGCGGGCCATAGGCCACGGGGACCCTGGCAACTCTTGACCAGGCCCTGCCTGCATTTCTCTTCCATCTTTCTGGCCACTGCCACCTCCTTCATCAGGGGTAGAGCACATCCCAGCCTTCTGGGGGCTCACCAGGGCTTGCAGAGGGAGGTCCTCTGGGATCAGGTCAGAACCCCCAGAAACCTCACTCTGCTGCACGCTGCTCTGCTCCCCTTCCAGTCCCTCCGCCCACAAGTGCTCCTCATGGCCCCCATCCCACACTCCCAGGCTTGAGTGCTGTCTTCACCTGGCAGCTCTTCTCCCTTCAAGTCAGCCTGGAAACCCCTCCTCCTAGAGGCCTGCCTGGTCTCCTGTAAGGGATGTGGCCTCTGCTGCTCAGAAATCGGACGTCTTTGCCTGAAGCTTGGGGACCTGAGCCTGTGCCCAGCCTCTCTCTCTCCATGGGGGCCCAGGAGCAACTCCAGGGGCTCCACCATTGAGCCCCTGGACTGGAGGCCTGGCCCCCCACGGGGTGCTCTGAGCAGGGCAGGGCTGCTTGGGGTGTGGGCCGGCAGGGACCTTGGTCCATCTTGCTGGCTGACAAGCGGGCCTCCATGAAGGGAGGGAGCAGGTCCCCACTGCAGAAGCCTTGTCAGGGCCTGAGGATCCGAGAGTGGAGCGCTTCATAAAGCAGACCCGTGGGGAGGTCTCATCAGAAGCAAGGAGCTGCAGCAGGATTTCCCGCACTTAATGGTCCTCAGTGTTACCTGTGAGTTCATCAAAATGGCAGCATCCACGCTCTCCGGCCGCACTGGGCCAGTCAGATAAACACAGAGTGTGTTGGGCAGACGTGGCTTCAGGTCAAGCCCCTCTGTCACCAGAGGCTCAACTGGCCGTCAGAACCCCTGTTCGGTGGCCTGTGATGTTGGGGCCCACAGGGCTGCCATGTGCAGGGGGGGTCAGTGGCAGGGCAGAGGTAGGGGCAGCTGTCAGGGCAGGACCCAGGCTGCTGAGGGCTCTGGCCAGGGCCTGTGTTCTGGGCAGCAGATCCTACCAGCAGGGAAGGGACCTCCACCCCGGTCCTTGGAGGCCCCAGGGCCCAGAAAGGAGCATGGGAAGGAGCCAAACCCACAGCAGCCTCCCTCAGGTTTTCCTTCCCAATTGCTGCGAAAGCTTTCATTTGGAGAAGAGGTTTGTCTGCGAAGAAGCTCAAGGATCCCAGACTCCAATGTTTCTCATGCCTCTCAGATTCTAGAATTCCAGGAAGCAATCTTTTCAACAAAAATACTTAGCAGTGCCTGAGCAGGGCCCTAAGCAGAGCCGAGAAGGCACAGAAGCCATCAGCTGCTGGGTTTCTGCAGAGGCTGCAGGATCCATCCAGAACACCAGGCAGCAGCCTACACACACACACCAGGCAGCACCTACACACACACACCAGGTGGTACCTACACACACACACACCAGGCAGCACCTACACACACACACCAGGCGGCACCTACACACACACAGCAGGCGGTACCTACACACACACACCAGGCAGCACCTACACACACACACACCAGGCAGCACCTACACACACACACACCAGGCAGCACCTACACACACACACCAGGCGGTACCTACACACACACACACCGGACGGCACCTACACACATCCTGTTCCTGCCTGCGAGTGCCCATCCCAACTTCTGGGAGTTGCCCTGAGGGCCTCTGGGCTCACCCGTCCACACTCTCCACCTCGTGTGTCCCTGGGCTGGCCCTGCTCTGGGCTCCAGGGGTGAGTGTGTCACCCAAGCCTGGGATCAGGCCCTGTGACTCCAGGCTCCCAGGATTGGTACAGGGATATCACGCAGCTCAACATGGCCCATGGCCGCCACTCTCAGGCCTTGTGGGGAGAAGGGTGCCCTGTGTCTGCTGGAAGGGGGACCCTGGAGTGGCTGCTGGCCATCTTGCCACCTCTCCGAGTGAGCCTGCCTGGAATAAGATCTCAGAGCCAAGCTGTGCTGAGGGAGGGAGAAGCAGGATTCCAAGGGCACGGTGGGAGTGCCTGAATCCAGCCATCCCTTCACCCTGAACTCCACAGCTCCATGAGCAAGACATTCCACATCTGCCTTCCACTGGTCTCAGCTGCGTTTCTGCACTTGCCACCACCTCTTTCAGGAAGGTGACCCCAGTGCTTTCACTGGGTTGACCTCTTCTAGATGCCCTGCCCCAACCCAAAGGCACTGTGCTTGCCTCTCACTCACGGCCCATTTCATGTGCACACACTCCCTCCCAGTCCTGTGCCATGGTGTGCGTGTCCCCATATACTGCCACACTGCAGACTCTCGGAGGGTAAGGACGTGTGGGACATGCCGTGACTGGCAGGCCCTTGCATACCTGAGATCAGCTGCCTCTTCAGCTGCAAGCCGGCCCTGCCTCTCCAAGGCCTCCTGCTTGGCCAGCAGCTGGGCCCGCTCCTCAGACAGAGCATCCTTGTCTTGCAGGGCCTGCTGCAGAGTGTCCATCTGGGCCTCCTGGTCCTGCAGGCTCTGAGCCAGCTGCTCCTCCAGGGCCTGTTTCTGGCATGTGACCTAGAGGAGGTGGAAATGGACAGTTGGCAGAGAAAGAGAGTAAGTGGGTGGGTGAGCATGGGCCTCTTGAGGGGAAGAAAGGACTTCAGAAGAAGTGATTTCACGCAGAATGGCATGGAGGTGAGAGTGGAAGAAGTGGGTGGACCTCAGACGCACATGGATGTCTTTACAATAGAGGGGGCATCCACTCAGGTACCCCGATGGGGATGGTATTGAACTGGGCACTCCTAGGTAGGAGCCAACTGTCAATCTAAATGGTACCATTTGTTTGTCCTCCAGTGTCCAGGGGTCAGGAAACACTGCGTAGAAATGGCAACAGAAGGTAACAGAAAACTAGACTGCTGCAGACCAACGCTTCCACCAAGAATATCATAAAAATCTAGGTAGATATATCACAAGAATATGTAAGAGACCTCAGACAGCTGAAAAGACAGCTGGGACTGAAGCAGCGAAGATCTTGGAGAGAAGGGAGACACAGAGGAATGAGCCCAGCATTTGGTGCCTCCTTTTCCCTTAAGGCATTTGCTGATTTAAAAGTTTGGGCTGAAAAATTGAGATGCCAAGAAGAGCTTCTGGCAGTACCATGGCCTGAGGGGGACAAAAATTAGGGTTCAGAGCCACCAAAGCGGAGAGGCTCTGATACGTATCACAAGACATCAGGTTGTATTCACCGCAGGGCTTGATCCTAGTAGTAGTGGTGAATCAGAAACAGACCATCCTTCATAGACACTGCAGCTCAGGTGTGAATCATCCCAGTCACTGACTACAGCGACCTTCTACCTTCACTGCCTGCCAGGGTCAAAAGTAAATTCTGGCCGAGTGCAGCGACTCCCAGCACTTTGGGAGGCCAAGGCAGGTAGATCAGTTGAGGTCAGGAGTTCAAGACCAGCCTGACAACATGGTAAAACCCTATCTGCCGGGCACGACGGCATGCACCTGTAATCCCAGCTATTCAGGAGGCTGAGGCAGGAGAATCGCATGAACCCAGGAGGCAGAGGTTATGGTGAGCCAGGATCATGCCCCTGCACTCCAGCCTGGGTGACAGAGTGAGACACTCTCTCAAAAACAGACAAACAACAACAACAACAAAAATAAACCCTTTCTGGAAGAAGAGTAGCATTGTCAAGATCCTCAAATTATTTCTGTGATTTATTATATAGAAGATTGACTATTTAATCAAGATCTGGCCTATCAGGAGACAGGACCACATGACAAAAAAACCACAAGTAAGAACAGAAAATAGATACAGATCCTCCCACCCTGGTTATCTAGATATTGGAGTTATCAGACACAAACTTTAAAATAGTTGATTAATATGTTCAAGAAGATGGATAGCAAGATGTAAAGTTTAACAATAGAACTGGATACTAAATATAAAAAATACAGTTTAAAATATAATAACCAAAAAAGTAAGGAAACTAATAGACAATGGCAGATTAGACAGAATAAAAGAAAGGACTAGTAACCTGGAAGACAGACAAAAGAATGTGTTCAGACTGAATCATAAAGAGAGAGAAGGATGGAAAATACACAAAACAGTGTTATAGACATACAGGACAGGCTAAAAATACCCATCATATGTGTAATTACAGTCTCAGAAGGAGATGAGAGGGCATATTTGAACAGATACAGGCCAAGAATTTTCCAAATCTAGTAAAATACATCTAGCCACAGACTTAAAATGAGCTGTAACCCCCAAAAGAATAAATTGAAAGAAAATGTCACAGATATACAACTTAGTAAAGTTTCTGAATACCAAAGATACAGAAATTTTTTTTTTTTTAAAAAAGGGAAAACGACACATAGCCATGAAATGAACAAGACTGACATTTACTTTCCATGCAACAGTGAAAGTCAGAAGACAATGGAATGACTTCATTACATTTCTGAAAGAAAATAATGGCTATTTTAGTATTCTATACTCAGTGAAAATATTCTTTCAAAGTAAAAACCAGGACTTTCTACTTCTGATAATGGTGAGGTAGGTTGTTGAAGACCAACCCTCCTACCTAAAGCAACTGGAAAAGTGACACAACATACAAC